TTTTTTTTGGAAAAACATTATCCGATAAATCACATTTCACACATCATCAATTCATCATGGTACAAAATCTCGAAGCGAAAAATTTGCCCACATCCACAATAAAAAGGGGGAAGTAGGCGGTTATAACCAGCAATCACCGTACCTGTAAGATCTGTCCGTCCATCGCTTCCCTTATCAACGGTCACAATCCACGATCCACGTCCTACCCCGCCATTGGTCCTTCCACAGAAATCCCCAAACTAGTATATATATATAACCTAATCGGCTTACAGTATCTTCAATTTCCGAATTCCTCCCCAATCTTTTGCGGCAGCCTATCCGAAGCATAATCATTCACCACCACTTTTTTTTTTCCACAAGATTGCAATGGCAGGTCGGGGCAAGACGCTCGGGTCAGGGTCAGCGAAGAAAGCTCAATCGAGGAGCAGCAAAGCGGGGCTCCAGTTTCCCGTTGGTCGCATCGCCCGTTTTCTGAAGGCCGGGAAGTACGCCGAGCGTGTTGGCGCCGGAGCTCCGGTGTACCTCGCTGCCGTCCTGGAATACCTAGCTGCTGAGGTACTCTTTTTTTTTTTGGTTGTGTTATGCAAAAATCATCCTCGAATTGATTTCTGAATTTCGAATTTCACGGTTGTCTGGCTAGGGTTTTGTAGATGTGTTTACGTTTGGGCATAATTTGTTTTTGCTTGAATCGACCTGTTTTTGTGTTATTGGTGGTGTTATGGTTACTCGTAATTCTGGTGTTGTAATTGATTCATTTGGATTCTCATTCAATTTTTGTAGCTATTTGATTCCTCTTAAAATCAGATATTGCGTTTGGATTTGGGTCGAATTATCTCCGTGCCCCTCTTAGTTTCTAGGGTTTTCTTCCTTGTACAATTTGAATCATTACTTCTTGTTTAATTGCAGGTTCTTGAGCTGGCTGGAAATGCAGCAAGGGATAACAAGAAGACAAGAATTGTGCCTCGGCACATCCAATTGGCTGTGAGGAACGATGAGGAGCTCAGCAAGCTTCTTGGTGACGTCACAATTGCTAATGGTGGAGTTATGCCCAACATTCACAATCTTTTGCTCCCTAAGAAGGCCGGTTCCTCGAAGCCCTCAGCCGATGAAGATTAGATCAGTCTTGAAGTTCCATAGAAGCCACATGACTATGGTAGCAGCTGTAGTTCTTATTTTAATGTTCCTTTTGATTTCAATGTTTTTTCAGGATGTTTAGGTGTTTGGTGTAGGGACTGATTTTGTTAGATCTTTGTTTTGTAAATAAATGAATGGCAGTCTGTTTCTGTTAGAATTGATTCTGTTTTCCCTGTGATTTGTGGTGAATTGAATATTTGATCCCCATACTCTAAATTGCACATCCCACCTTCCTCTAAACCTCCAAGACGAGACAGATTAATTAACAGAAGATTATATTATTTGCAAAACTTAACCTTGAAGTCCAATCTAATCACAAGAGAGCTCAATTATCCTCTTGAATTATGAATGTAAGCATCCGATCACATATAGTCCCCACTCAGTAGAGACAGTTTTGTAGCATATATTAAGGGACATATCTATAACTAAAGAATATTTGAACCTTTCTTTTAAAACTAGACCAAAAACCTCAAGGGCGATATTTCTGGACATGAAAACACAGCTGCAACTAAGTGCCCACCCACATTCTATCTAAACAGAGAGAGACAGGAAAAAATAAAAAAGAAAAAAGAAGCAACAGGCTACGACTCATCATCCGAGCTCGAACTATCCACCCGCCTATCGGTGATTGCTGGAAACAGTCGTTCACGAGCATCCTGCGAAGCCGCCTTCTGCCGGGCATCTGGCTGTGCTGCTGCCTTATCTTCCTCCTTCCTGCCCATCCTAACTCTTGCTGGTACATTTTTCACCTCCCGGCACACCTTATCCAAAATCACAAGAAAATCGCGGACAATAACAAACAACCTCAGACCTTCATCCTTCCCCGAATTCCCATGGAAATAATCCCCTGCATTCTTCACCAGCGCCATTATCCGCTTTTCCTCCTCCTGGGCCCACTTCACGTCCACCTCCGCATTCTGCACGAAGCTCCTCAGGACCTGAAGGAACCCGTTTCCTTCCGGAACATTCTTCATTTCCGAGTTCAAGAAATTGCGGGCCTTCACGAGCCCGTGGCCCAGTTTCGAGACTGACCCAGTTAAGTTGTCGGCGTCTAAGGCTGCAGCTCTCCTGACATTTTCAAGCTCGTTACTGAGGCCCGACACGACTTTCAGACCGAGGCTCCTCAAGTGCTCGTCCGAGTCTTGATCAGAAGAATCTTCAAGTGGATTTTTTTCGGACTTGAAGCTCGGTCTTTTTTGAGTTTCGCGGGCGGCCCGTATTCCCTCTGAACGGATTATTTCCTGAACGACAAAGTGCAACAAGGTGGTTTTCCCGTCCGTACCTTTGACGTCCGACAGTTTTAGAAGGGTGTCGAGTTTGAAGGCTTGTGCACCTCCACGGAAGGTCCCATCGTTCATTCTGTTGCCGGTTTTGAGAACAGCCTCTAAGAGTTTGAGGAATAATCGGCTTTTTCGTAGTTCTGTGCAGGCAGCCTGTTCATGGGTAAAATTCAGTAAAATGTATTAAAGATAGTAACTTTTCTTTTATTTCTTTTGGTTGCGACAATGATTATTATTTAGTGTTATTATAAGAGAAACCATATGGCAAAGCATATGAAAAATTATGATCCTCCAATAACAGAGGAGCATTTTGAAATTTGAATACTGCAAAAATCTAGTAATTTTGATTGAGTGTTTTTTCTTTCCATAATATTGTGAAAATCAGCAGAGAAGTTGAGAGTATGATGGAAGGAGCATAATTGATGCTCACCTCCAAGACAGAGAAGGACTCGGTTAATGTTGTCATCTCTTCCTGAAGAGTGCACATGTAAAGAAGTGATTCGAGCCTCTTGAATGCAAAAGGGATGTTGACCAAGACCTTTAGAAAGCGTTCTGCGGGTCCCAATTGAGAAAGCTTGCCGGTGTAGACTCTCAACTTCAGTTCTTCTTCGGCTGTCGGAGCCATTCTTAACAGATTTTGAATGAGCTCTGGAGGAAGCTCATTACCTGATTCAGTCAAAGAAGGTCAAGTGTTGTTCCTGATGTTGTAAAAGTCTTTCATCAAAGGTGAAGCAGGATTTCATATTTCGATAAATGGCAATGGCATCCCAACAATAATCTTACAATAGTTTAAGATAGAATTTATTGATCGCTGTTCAAGCAATCTGACCAATATGTACTTGCATTAAAATAACTTCAATTCACATTCTGATGCGTAAAATATGCAGAGAACTTGCCTCTTGACAACATTATAAATAAAAAAAAAACTTTCGGTTTATGCTTAAGAATTTAGAAGCTTTTGTTTTCAGTGTTTCAAGGTGAACTAACAGTGATTTTTTAAAGGAATATCCTACTAACTAGAGTTTTTACAGTATCGTGACACGTAGCAGATGAAGATCCTAATACCGGCAACCTCATGAGTCCATGATTATTATTTCAATCTACAATCTTGGTGAAGAACGAAGTATAAACAATGTGAAACGAGAAAATAAATTCTAGGTTTGTAATTAGAATTGTAAATGATAATTTCCTATATGTGTCCTTTCTTAATTTGGCGAAAGAGGAACACACTAACAGGAGACCATCAAGCAAATTTAATCATGTAATTTTTTAACCAGTTAAATGCTAGAACAGATCAATGAAGAAACTAATTCCAGGGCTGAGGCATGTTATACGCACTATCCATCTCCGAGAAACAGCACTAGATTTCGAATGGGCCACTGAAAAGTACAAAAACGAGCTCCACTGTTATATTCAAGTCAAATGCTAAGCTAAACGTGCATTGAACAAATGGATTCCGAATATTCTCTGTTTTATCAGATTTCAGCTTTAATGAACTTGTCTTAAAAGTTTAACAGTTTGATCACTCTCTATGCCCTTCTCCATAAGGTGCCTGTTTCAGATAATCCCTGCGTCATAATAACATGTTCCCACATAAATGAAGCTCCACCAGACAACATACATTCACTCGATTCACAGCTTCATTTTTTAAATTCAAGAACAACAAACATGTTTGATATTAGTTACCTTCTTTTAAAGCGTCACAAACTTCTTCCGTTGTCACGTTCAGTGCCTTGAGAAGAATAGCTAAATTCTGAGACTTTTTCGCATCAATTATTTGAACATATTGGGGCGAAACATCCTGAGGCGAAGTCTCTTTCTTTGCATCATTCTTGTTCTTGGCAGCTGAAGCAGGTGCATAGCCAAACAAACTCTCTATCATTTCTTCATTAAATCTGTTTGCAAAAGCGTTCCACAGACGTAAATATGTTAAATAAAAGATCAACATATGAAACATTCAAAAAAAAAGGAAAGAAAAAGAAAGAAAAAAAAAGACTCACTGAAAGGATCCCGATTTGATCTGATGCCAAACCATAGAATGATCGGGATTTGCCAGTACTTTATCCCAGAAAAAAGGCTTCAGTTTTGCTTTATTGCTACTGCCAGCCTCATCATCATCACTGGAGACAGATGCACGTTGACCGGAGTTGGAAGGCCGTGGGGGTCTCAAACCGACAGGCGGCGGCGGCGGCCGGGGCCCACCGGGCGGTGGTGGCGGTGTCCGGTGTCCACCGGGCGGTGGCGGCGGTGGCCGGGGCCCACCGGGCGGTGGTGGCGGTGGTGGCCCACGTGGCGGCGGAGGTGGTGGGCCGCCGGGCGCTGGCGGTGTCGCTGGCGGTGCAGGTGGTTTAGATAGCTCTGTCCTTCCGGGGGGTGGCCTCAGTGGAGGCAGTCCAGATGGGGCCGGTATTCTGGGAGATGCCGGCAAAGTACTTTCTGCTGAGTTGGCGGCAGCTGGTCCAGTGGTAGGCCTGAACGCAACCTCGATTTTGGAATGGCTCAGGGAATGCGGCTCCGTGAAGAATTTCCCGCTGGTTTTGGAGTGGTTCATCTTGTTGTTGAATGACTGGTGGTTGTTACCAAGCTTTGCTTCGTGCAAGGAAGCTTCTGGGCTGTATTGCTTGCGTGAAGAGGAGGCTAATGAAATGAACAAAATAAAAAGATTTGAGAATTTGCTGGACTACACATTTGAATAAAAAGGCTATGCTTCCCTTGACTAATCATTTCCCAACTCTTTTTTCTCCCAAAAATTCATTCTTTGCCCAATACGTTGAACCATACAAATTTTCCTAAATTATATTCTATATTGCTACTCGTTCATTTTCACTTTTGCAAACATCGATCACATTCAAGAATATTTTCCTAAATCACATTTTCCACACAATTTTTTTAGAAACAGAATAAGAAGTTGAAAAGTAGTTGTTGTAAGTAACGAGGCTGAAAAGGAATAAGGATATAAAAAGAAGAGAAAAAAAAAAAACACTCACAAATAGAGTAGTCACTCAAACTTATGCTGAGAAGAGGTCTCTCGTCATTTCTACGCTGTCTCTTGATGGCCCCACAGCACCCACAGCAAAAAAGAAACAGCAGCCCAGCTATAAGAAAGGTCACACAAGCAGTCACAACAACAGCAATAACCACCGTTCTCTTGTTCGACCCCTGACTGCTTGAGTTCACATCAGAAGCACTTCTAGAAGTGTGTGTCCCATCAGAAATAGGCGGCGATCCTGAGTCAATTGAATTTGGAGGAAAAAATGGAGGCAAAGGCGGACGAGATGGATTTTCTGGAGGAGATACATGAATAATAGAAGATTCCGGTGAAGGAGAATAAACTGTTGGGGATGGAGCAGGTGCTTGTGCAGGTGTCTCGGGTAATACACGTCTCATTGAGGACGAACGATGGCTAAATACGAAGCTGACATATGGGGTATACCAAGTATCCAAACTTTCCTCTTGATTTTTTTCCCTTACACAATCTATGAGGATTTGATTGACCTGCGGGACCAAGACATTGATTGGGTTGTGCACTTGTGCTCGGAAATGCCAAAAATTTGGAAAGTTGTTACTAGCGCTCGAGTTCTCCTCCTCCTCGACATTTTGTAGAGTTTTTTGAATTTGTAACAATTGGAGCATGCATTTATCCCGTAACAACTCAGCCTGCAATAAGAGTTTCTCATCATACAAGCTTTCTTTATCAGTTGGGGAAAACCGTAAGACACGTTTAGACGCAAATGGCGATTGAATGCGACTCTTGTCAGCGACTAAATTGCTGAAAGATCACATTTTTAGCATATAACTTTACAACTTAACAAAAAGGGGGTATATGTATAAATATATACCTCTAACATACATGAATCAATGTTAAGAAATGAATGATAAAACAATTTATGACTAAATCAAAGTTACAAGGAATAATGTCTAAATTAATTTAAGTAGCGGTTGGAGTTGGTATAAACTGTCTCCTAATCCAAGTTCACCTTCGATTCACATAGAAAATAAATAATAAAGACTCTTAGTTCTATATAATTTTTCACGAAAACAAAGTAGAAAGAAGTAAAAAAATAAAAGTATGCACTTTCAATATACCCTGGTGGTGAAATGGTTAAACACGCATCAGTTTAAAGCTTTTTAAGATCGATAAACGAAATCCCCATTTTTGGGTCCATAAGCACTGACAATTTGTAGAAGTCCACATATATCCTATTAAGAAATATGATGGGAGCAACATCCCACTTTTCTTTTCTTTCTGAGTTTCCTGTGATTCATTCCTAAACCATTTATCCTTGCCCCATATTGCTCGTGTAATCGCGTTTGCAGTTAATCATACAGAAAACTTGGTTGAATAGCAGGGATCAGCTAGAAATCATCAGATGATGTGTATTAGAACACCATTTCACTATAAAAAAAAAAAAAAAGGGAAGTGAAGAAAAAAAAGTACCGACTTATGCTACATCATAACTCTCACCAGCAAACCCGAAACAAATTATAAGGGGACAAAAAAGATGGTGCCTTCTCAACAGCAAAAGAACATACCACCAGATTAGCAATCATCTTTCATCAATATATTTCATCCAAATAATCGACAGAATTAACGATAAGTTGAACAAATCCATACAAATCAATCTTCAAGCAAAAGGTAAGAGCTATATACCATCTCTTGATTGATCACCCCTGAATCTAATAGATAAGCCAGTAAAGATTCTCGCCCCTCCCATTCGCTTTCCACACGGGTTGCTAGCACAGTGAAAAGCAGAACAAAACCCAGAAAGCAACAAAAGGATACACTCCATTCTTGAACCCTCATCTTGCAAATTGGACAAAATATTACAGCTCATATCATTAGACCACCACAGTGAAACCAAGAGAAAACACCTATAGCCCCTTTATTTTCAATTGCCCAACTCCTGAAATAATGCCCAAAGGCCAAAGGTCAAACCTTTACAACAGTTCAGACCAATCAAACTCAGTATTTTTGTTCTGTACAGCTCCCAGAAAAGCCCAAAAATCTTCAATTTTTGATTAAAAGTCTTGATGTTCCAACTCAAAAGTTCCACCTGCAAAGCTCGAATGTAGATATGAATCGCACTTGAGAGTTGAGACGCCCAAGAGGCAGCAAAAGCCAACAACTTTGAACAGGGAACCGGGTTAATTAAGATAAAATCTTGAACTGGGAAAAAGGAAAATTTACTTAACAGGGTGGGTTTTATAAATCAGATCCACCAGAGGGTGTCAAGTAATAGAAAAAAATCACAAATGGGGGAAGAACAAGCGCGTGGGTTGACCATGAAAAGTTCTTTCCAAGAAGAGATTTTTTCATGTTTTACATTTATTTCTGCTAATAATGTCTGCCAAGTGCCAAGGTGGCAAGGTGTCTGTGCAAGCTGCCAAAACTTTGTCTTTTACAGTGCCGGTGTTGTGTTTTTTACTTTTATAAAAACTTTTTTTTTTTTTTTTTTT